ATTTATTTTTTCCACACTTGTCCACACTTTTCCACATTTGTCCTTATGACGACTTCAAATCGAGAACGACTAGGCAATCATTACGAAGGACAATTTTGCACAACAGCATAGCATTTTTGCATGATTAAAAAATATTTTAAAATTGCAGTGTGATTGAGAGGAACGTTACCTTGTACGTGTTACACTCTTGCATTCCCCAAACCCATAACGATCACGAATAAGTAAAATAAATTAGACGTAACATAATTGTATTTTGTATAAAAGAATAATGGATTATTATAAAATGAGAAGCATTTGAATTAAAACTCTCAACAAATAGCCTAAAATTACAGTGTGTCTAATATTCTGTCTCTGGAAAAAACATATTAACAAATAATGTGAATTTATTTTGTAAAGATTTTTTGGTGTTTTTTTATTTTTATTTTTTTATTTAGGCTTATAGTCTTTCAAAATCTTCTACAGAGAAAAAAAAACATATGACAAATATGCGTAAGTTTCAGCAAATGGAAAACATCTTAACAATTTTAAAAATTAAGAGCAAATTACAATTAATGAACGTTTTGAATAAAATTAATTTGGATGATTTCTTTGTTATATAAATAAATATACAAATAGCCAATACTTATAACGAGATGGATACTTTAAATCTAGAAAATTAGACATCATTAAATGCGCAAGATTTTGCATAAGTAGGCTACATAATAAATTAGCCTAAATTCAGATTGTATTTTTTTTATTTTTTTTTTAAATTAAATTCGTGCTGTTTGTCTGTTTTATTTTTAACTTGTGTTAAACACATTTTATGCAATTGAAAGGACATTTAAATGGACCCTTTCATATTTTCTTTCGACCTCCATATATACATATTCGTTTGAAATAAATCGGTCCCTCGGTGTAATACAGAAATGATTTTATTATGTAAATTGTATCTTTTGCAGACATGGCCAGGCGTTACTAATGGCAAAAATACACGCGCGCGCTCTTGATAATTCTCTGAACGCACGCGGCTGCTCGACTGTCAACACACTGATAAACGGAGCCCCTCACCCCGCACACAATCCGGACAGCAACGGCAGCAGGGTAAAAAGCGATAATACTGTCTGGGGTACAAGAACAACCTAAATCGGAAATTCACAACATCTATTGCTCTTAAACCCGAGACTGATTGTGTTCAGGCCTGCATCTTTGTTATTCAGCTGCAGCCTGATATCAGTGGCCACACGGATACGATCTAAAAGCCTGAAAATCGCTGCAGACTTCCCTGTGGCCTGCACTGTTATAGCGATTGATCTTAAAGTAGGCAAGATAAACCTATATATTAGTCTTTTTCATGCTAAAGTGGAATGGTTTAATAAGAATTTCCCCAAGCAATTTTATGAGGATCCGGTTTTCTTCTAAGGCACCCTACAGTTTTAACAGCAAAAAAGTAAATCATAACATCAGCAGGCATGTGCACTATTTGGTTTGCTCTATTTTCAGAGAAGAATGACAGTAGACACATGGTCAGACTAGACTACATCTGTCTTAAACACACACCGCATCAACGGTCTGAGACACGTGCCGTTCCCCTCCCCACCTTCATGTTGTCTAGGGATCCCGAGAGGTTTTGGGGTCCCTGGGGAGAGAGAGACCGAGGTCATATAAGGGCCCCTCAGGCGGCATGATATAGACAGACGGGAGGTTGAGCCATGTGCTGCATCTTATTTCCCCCTCATATGTAAATAAACACCCTCAATAACAACACACACACACACAGGTTAATGTCTCTTATGCTCTAAAATAGACAAATACACACATCAAACAAGAACTGATTCAAGAACATATAAGGCTTCTTATAAACACTTGGTCTTAGCACTTAAGGAGGCAGAGCTCTGCTGCACTGTCATCAATTAAAAGGTTTAATTGATTGATGACTGTGACCTCACTGACACAGTGGCCTGACAAATTCCCCAAGCTCAAAACCGTTGGATAGTAAAATGTAAAATTGCATGTACTCAGTGTGAAATGCCTCTGTTCATTTTACCTCATAAAATAAAGTGAAAGGCTTCATGTTGTGCACACTGAAATAAACAAGGTTGGTCACCAAATCTTCACTGTGCGAGCCATGTTTGATTCTTTTATTAGTGTGTAGGCCATCACGATATTCTTTGTGACTCCTTGAAGTAAAAAAAAAAAGAAAAAGGATTTTATACTAAAAACAAATATTTTGCCTCTTTCTTTACCACACTATGCAAGATTAAACCCACATATCTGTTCTGAGCAAGTGAATATATTGTCAATTGTTTTAAAAGAGGATTTTTAAATGTATTGTTCAGCCAAAAGAAAACTATCTTCATTTACTCACCCTTGTGTCATTGCAAAACTGTATGACTTACTTTCTTCTGTGGAATAATAAAAAAAGTGTGGGACATTTCTCAAAATATACATTTTTGTTTCACAGAACAAAGAACGTCATATAGTTTTGGAATGACACAAGGGTGGGAAAATGAAGACTATTTTCTTTTGAGTGAGCTAAGCCTTTAAAGGGTTATAGCTATGTAACTTAATTTGGATTTATCTTTTGTTGCGAAACAGTCACAAATTAACGGAATAAAAAGTACATAATTTAAAAAAATCTAATTAAATCAATCAGTTTCATAAATGCGAGTCCTTATTCTTTTCATTCAATCAAACGGGTCGTTTACATCAGTTTTGGGAGGCGAAAAAAATGAAGTTTTAACGCCCCCTGTTGAACAAACATGTTCATATCAACATAGCGCCGCCATTTTAGGATTAAAATTGTCCTTCTGTCGAAGAGTATTGAAGGCAGCCCATTGTGATTTTAGGATACTGACATGCAACTTTGATAAATGTAAAAAGTTACTATATTTTCAAACGATGATTATGCAGGAATTTTGGCGATTTCCTAACACATACAAGCATTGTTTATGCACTCAAGGCAAAACCTTGTATCCACATTCAGGATAGATGTGGAAACAGCGACACTGAGAGGCTGATTAAGTAAGTGCTTCTGAGAAGTAAACAAGAAAATCAATATCGCAGATTAAAAAAAACACACACGATCACTCAAACATAATTTTAGCGTTTTAAATAATGAAAGCGTTTCATGTAAGACCAAGGTGACTCACTGTAAGAAAAGCTGGTCAATCCAGAAAACTAATTTCAGCTTGTGAGAAGTCACATCTCCAGAGGCCATAGCATTTTTTTCTTTGACCTGACTCAAACATTAAGTTTCATGGGGTAATTAATGATTTAATTTAAATAAGTATGAGTGAAATAAGTACTTAACCCAACTACTGATTCACCATTAAGGTGGATTAACACTCAAGATGGCTTCCTCACAAGAAAGGCATATTGTGTTTGCGACAATTAAACACACGGCCATGGATACAGGTAAAACAAACCCTCAAAGTACCAATAAGAACAGACCAACCAAATTGTTGGTCATACAGTGAATTCACTTCTTCAGAAAGCAAACACACTTGAAGCTTTGTGCAGCATCTTTATTCTGACACTGCTAAATGCCAGCAGTTTTGCAGGAGTCGTTTTAATGCACCGACATGAACAAAGTAGAAGAAGGGGTGAAGTGTGCAGGCAGCTAGTGTAGGAGAGGAGTGTGGGTGCTGGGTGGAGGGGGACCAGGCAGTTTGGGACACAGGTTAGTGCATGACGAAGTATTTAGTCAAACAAGGGGAAAATGCAACACACAAGTTCTGCCGAGTATACCACATTTATTTTTAATGAACTGATTATGAGAAAGAGAGGGTGCAAGGCCCACCTCAATGCAGACTTAAGAAACAGAAGAGAAAGACGAGAACGAAAAAAAAAATGACGGGAGGAGAGCAGCCCATAGCAACAATTTTTCTTTAACTTGCAGAAGAAAAAGTAAATGGAAAATAAGCTGACAACTCTCAAACACAGCCCCCTTTTGTACACTATAAAACTGATCCAATGAGCAAAAGCCTTAACTCAACAAATCGGCTTCTCCGTTTATCGTCCCCTGCCAAACACCCTCTATTACCAACACAATAAAAAACAAAACAAAACAGGAACAGAAAAAAACTCAGGACATTCCTGAACATTCATTAGATTTTTTTGAATTACATTTTTTTTCCATTTTATATTCTTGGTTGAAACTTAGTAAACTTTTTTTTTTTTTTTTCCCTCAGAAGGTAATGAGACTTGTACTGACTAGTGGCCAATTAACCAACAATGGAACATCCACTGAGAAGGTGACGATCATTTCACGTCCTGACTGGATGGTTTCAGCTCCAATAAAGAGAAGGTGGGGGGTTAACAGAGAAATGAGGGGGGAAACTGCCTATACAGGATCCGGGGCACTAGAACCCAATGATTTAAAAGAACAAAAAAAAAATCAATATTGTAGTAAGAGAGAAGCAAAGCCATGTGCTTGGACTGTAAAAACAGATGTTTTTTTTCTAAAAAACAAAATTTAGGAGAAAAATAAAAGGCAGCAGAACAAAAACAGGACCAAAAAAAAAAAAAAGGTGAGAATTACTGGGTTCACGGAAAATGCAACATACATGTTCTGCCGAGTATACCACATTTATTTTTAATGAACTGATTATGAGAGAGAGAGGGTGCAAGGCCCACCTCAATGCAGACTTAAGAAACAGAAGAGAAAGACGAGAACGAAAAAAAAAATGACGGGAGGAGAGCAGCCCATAGCAACAATTTTTCTTTAACTTGCAGAAGAAAAAGTAAATGGAAAATAAGCTGACAACTCTCAAACACAGCCCCCTTTTGTACACTATAAAACTGATCCAATGAGCAAAAGCCTTAACTCAACAAATCGGCTTCTCCGTTTATCGTCCCCTGCCAAACACCCTCTATTACCAACACAATAAAAAACAAAACAAAACAGGAACAGAAAAAAACTCAGGACATTCCTGAACATTCATTAGATTTTTTTGAATTACATTTTTTTTCCATTTTATATTCTTGGTTGAAACTTAGTAAACTTTTTTTTTTTTTTTTTCCCTCAGAAGGTAATGAGACTTGTACTGACTAGTGGCCAATTAACCAACAATGGAACATCCACTGAGAAGGTGACGATCATTTCACGTCCTGACTGGATGGTTTCAGCTCCAATAAAGAGAAGGTGGGGGGTTAACAGAGAAATGAGGGGGGAAACTGCCTATACAGGATCCGGGGCACTAGAACCCAATGATTTAAAAGAACAAAAAAAAAATCAATATTGTAGTAAGAGAGAAGCAAAGCCATGTGCTTGGACTGTAAAATCAGATGTTGTTTTTCTAAAAAAAAAACAACAAAAAAAAAAAACAACAATTTAGGAGAAAAAGAGGCAGCAGAACAAAAACGGGACCCAAAAAACAAAAAAAAACAACAAAAAAAAAGTGAGAAGTATTGGGTTCACTATTAGAATCCTATAGAATTAAGTTGTAGTCCTATGAATAATCGTGTCATTTCTTTTACTACAAGTTCGAAGTAAGTCTTTTAGGTCAACAGAAATCAAAGAAGAGTCTTCATTTAGTTTCTTTTTTCCTCTTTTTGAATCCTTGGTTAAATCTTTCCCCAAAATAATTTCTGAAAATATCTGGTTGTAAGATTGGGGAGAGAAATAGGGCCTGTCAGTCTTTTGCCCAAAGCAGTGCTTGTTACTTCACACGTCCTTGGCGATCCTGGAAAAGAGAATGAATAAAACAACTGTAAACAAAGCATGCTGGGAGGACATTTTGAAAGAAAATTCTGTAAAGACTGGGTCTTTAAACTATTTTAAAAGACATTTCTTGGGAAAAATAATATATATATATATATATTCGATGCAGCCCTAAAATAAATAAATAATGATTAATACGGTTTTACTTAGAAGTCAATGCCTTTTTTTAAAGTACTCTTCAAAAGTTGGAGGTAATTACTTGATCTCCATTTATTTGATCAAATACAGTAAATCTGCATCGTGAAATATTACTAGAATTTATCAAATTTTCTATTATAATACATTTTAAAATGTAATGTGTTCCTATGATGGCAAAGCTGAATTTTCAGCAGCGACTACTCCAGCTTTCAGTGTTACACAATTCTTCAGAAATCATTCAAATATGCAGATTTACTGCTCAAGAAACATTTCAACTAGAAATATAACATTTTTTACAAAGAAACAGTAATCATTTTCCCAGGATTCTTTTAAATTTGTTAACTTTTAAAAAGTTTTTCAAAGTAGTAATTACATTCAAAACAATGAAGAATAAAAAAAAACTTTACCGTTACATGACCAGTAGGTTATTAATCAAATTAAATTCAAAAATAAATCTCAAATCTATATCTATCTGTATCTATTACTCCCACACCCTTGTAAGGAAAATTTATAACATTGTTAAATGATTTAACAACATCTTTTATTATGTGCCTACTGACAAGTCTCGTCAACTTTAAGGTGTTTTAACATACCTAATGGCTGGGCCTGCTGAAACTAACAGAAATTAAACCCATTATTTACAAGCTGACAGATACTCTAATTTACAAGCATGCCGATAGATAGAGTAGGTTGATATGAACAAAGATTGAATCTGCAAGATGCATCACCTGCATTCTGTAGTGGCTCCGACTGGAGTTACTGGAGTATGGGTCACTCCCCTGAACCTCCACCTGCCCAAAAGAGAAATACCATTTTAAATCAAATGCTCTTGAAATACCAACCATTATTCAAATGACAGAGACTGACAATATTTGTATTTTAATAAGTAATGACATTTTTCCAAGACAAGCATAACCAGAACATCCAGACATCTATATCCACTATTTCTCCAGTCATATTACAACTAGTTGTGCAACATGTTAATAAAATCAAAATTACAAATGACATCCACTTAGGCCTGGGCGATAAAACGGTATAGGTATTTATCGACGGTACACCATCGATAAAGATAGAAAAAATTTTCAATATAGCGCTCAATATAGGCACGTGCTATGAGTGACAGCACACACGAGCACATGCTGAAATGAGTGCTGTGCCTGCCGGTGATGAGGAGATTGTGAATAAAAAATGAATAGTCGAATTTGAAAATTAACATTTGGATCTGAATGCAAAAATTGTAGTCGAATGTTAGGTGTGCGTCAGGGAACGTCATCAGCGGTGCATGAGATGCGGTGATGATGTAAGTGACGTTGTTGCATTTTAATGCTTTGTTAGTCTAGCCCACGAGATGCACCGTTGCTGCGTTATTCATTCAAAATATTCGAGAAATATAGCAGCTCAATGCATAGAAGATCTTGATTAGGTTAAAACCGAAACCAAGCCATTCACACAGAACGCATATTCAGCACATTTTCTAGACGGACAACTATGACTGCTGCACTCGCGTCTCACACAAAGTTAAAACGGTTTAAACATTTAGAAAACACGTCGCGAATTTGTGGAGGTTTATTCCTTTTCACTGTGTCCTAATCATTTTTTTAATGCCATCTGTGTGATGGGCGATTCGGCTGTTTGTATTAAGCAATGCATACATAATGCCGTTTTGTTCATAATTGTTTATGCAATTTACGAAATCATATTTGATTTAGATATGTTAATTTAGACATTATGCACTTTTTTTGAAGACAGGTAAGTTATTTCATTGCATTTAATGCGCTGCATTACTTTGCTCATTGCGCCCTCCTGTGGCCTCGGGAAACAAGCCAAAAGCTTCCGTAAGACTTATTAATCTGCATATAAAACATTAGAAAGGAGATGTTTAATTTTTATTTTGTGTTTGACTGTTAAAACAAAAAAATATGTTGTTTGTCTCAATAAAATGGGTTAGTTTAAAAACACAGTGGTTAAATTTAAAGTTTTTTTTCTATTGCTCCGTTTTAAAAAAGGTTAGCCTATTAAAAGTGTCAATTATCGATACCGAACGATATGAAACATTATAACGTTGATACATTTTTTAGCTATATCGCCCAGCCCTACATCCACTCTAAGATTTACTGGAGACTGAAGGGTGCAAACTCTGAAACAGTGATCTCTTATTCTGACAGTTGTTCCGCACTAAAAACAACAACAACAATGAAAATTCTGGTTTTCCAAGCCAACCTTAAACAAGTCTGTATTCAATGTAGGGACATGAGGGGAAACCACAGTGCCACCATTTGTTAGGAAGGACAACAAAAGTAAACAAAGATGTAATTAAACAATTTCACTTCAAGGTGTTCTTTTTATGAAGTATTATTTCAGTAAACAATACTTCACAAAGCAATTACATCTTATTCAAACAGAAGAACTGTCTTGCTAAAAACATTCAGTGAGCTAAACTGGTGATGTCAGCCCACGTATACAGAAAGAACTGTAATATGAACTCTCTATTCTGGAGCTTTACAGCCATAATTCATGTAGTCCACATAACCATGGAAAATAAATGAATTCCCTAAAAATACCTTTGTTCTGCTACAACAGCACCACACAATCACATGGCAGAAAAACCATTAGTGTCGACACTATACAAAGCAGAACGGTGGATATCTGGGCTGGGCTTTCATTTGATTCAACAGATAATTATGTGCTGTCCGGCAACTCTGTAAATGCCGTTCACCACACTAAACGAGTACACTAGGGCTGCACGATAAAATCGCATGCGATTGTCATTCACATCTCGTCAGTAAAGCCAGTTCGCAGACTAATCGCATGCGATAATGAACACGATATTGCGTAGCTTGTCAGTGATCTACGGCTCTGTGTAGTAAATGCCGCTCCATCTGAAAGCATGTGATGGAGATTTACTACTAATCACAGAACCGGCTTTACTGGCGAGATGCGCATGACAATCGCATGCGATTTATTGTGCAGCCCTAGAGTACACTTTATATGCTTATTGTGCATTGTACACCATGTGACCCCGAGCCAAATATACACACACTATAATAAACTATAAAGACACAGCAAAGAGACAGACAGCATAAAAACACTAAATTATATAAAAATAAAATAAAAAAAAACAGAATAAAGGTGATCACACCCATATATTACTTAAGCATGCTCCTTTTATGTATCATTTAAAATCTTTTCATACTATTTGGCTTGTGGGGGAAAAAAAACAAACTTGTATGCATTTGTTTGGTCAAATCTGAAATATGGACATGCAACATCAAAATGCTGCTCAAATAACTTGAGAATTGATGTGGCAAAAAAAAAAAAGGAAAAATACCTTAAAACAAACACAGATGTTCTCTTGCAGTGATAAACAGTAACTCAAATTTGTAGATGTTATCTTACTAATAAATAAACAACTTAGCTGAGAGAGAAAAATGAGATTTTAATTCTAATTACATTTTTAAAGTCCAGTAACGCCACAGCAAGAGGTAAAATGGATAGTTCACGCAACAACAAAAAATAAAAATAAAAAAATTATAATTTACTCATGTCATTTAAAACCTGTGACTTCCTTCCACAGAAATTCTTTCCAAATATTTTTTTAAAGAATTGTTTCACTTATTTTTGCCCATACAATAATAATAACAACAATAACAAAAAAGAACAAACTTTTGTTCAACAGAAATTCACATAGGTTTGGAACGACATGACAGTGAGTAAATGATGAAAATTTAATTGTCATGTGAACTACCCTTTTAAGGGGACTCCGCAAATGATGGGAGAACAACTTATGTATACTACCACAAAATCTGCATTTCCATTACCTGTAGCAACAATATGCAACATTTAAGGTTGCATTTTCCAAACAACATTTTGTTTTTTTCATCATATCCTTATGTAAATGGGTATGTGACAGAAAATTTTACTATGCTTTTGAATTGGATAAACTCAAAGTAGGGCTGGACGATATGGCCAAAATTGATATCACGATATATTTCTTAATTTCAGTCGATACGATATAATTCCGATATCGTTATGAACACTATTTATCTGAAATAGAAATCTTTTGTAACATTATAAATGCCTTTATCATCACTTTTGATCAATTTTAAGCATCCTTGCTAAATAAAAGTATAATTTCTATAATTTCTTTCCCAAAAAAAATAATAAAAATTATACTGAATGGAATAGTGTATAATGTTACAAAAGCTTTTTATTTCAGATAAATGCTGATCTTTGGATCTTTCTATTCATCAAAGAATCCTGAAAAAAAAATGTACTCAACTGTTTTAAATATTGATAATCAGCAAATCAGCATATTAGAATGATTTCTGAAGATCATGTGACACTGAAGACTGGAGTAATGATGCTGAAAATTTACCTATGTATGATCACAGGAATAAATTACATTTTAAAATCTATTCAAATAGAAAGCAATTTTAAATAGTAAAAATATTTCAACATTTTACTGTTTTTGCTGTACTTTGGATCAAATAAATGCAGCCTTGGTGAGCAGAAGAGAATTCTTAAAAAAAAAAAAAAAACCCAACATTAAAAATCTTACTGTTCAAAAACTTTTGACTGGTAGTGTAGGCTGATTATTCTTATAGATTGAAACAAATGTGCTTCAGCCAGAAAAAAAAGGGTATGAAAAGTGCTCCGAGTCGCTGCAGAAAACCAAAAAATTGAACAATAACAAAAACTGGAAATGTTGCTGGAGATGGGCTTATTTAAAATGAAAACTCATTCTCTGCCAGCAGGAGGCGCTTTTAGAGTGATAAAACTAGCGGTTTCTCCAGTAATGGCTGTAATCAAAGCAGCTCCGCTCATGAATGCTACTTTTATCAGATCAAATGAAAATGCCATCGAAACTTTTCTGAAGACAGTCAATTCCCTTCAGAGATACATTCATATAAAACACCCGCGCTGTGTTATGAATTTGAAACGTGCAGTGCTCATGTTTATTCAACGAAGTCAAACGGCACAAATAAATCAATGTATGGGAAACTGGTAATGTATATCGAAATATCGGAAATGTGTTTATTGAAAACAATTATATCGCGATACATATTGATATTGAATTATTGTCCAGCCCTAACTCAAAGTAAACTATTCCAAGAGCATAAATAAATTCATAATATCAAAAAGACAAAATATTGAACAACAGTGGTCCTAACATTTCAAAACTGACATCAGCAAAGGAACTCTGAAGAACTGGGGAAAAAAAAGAAAAAAAAAAAATCAGCTTTATATTCCTGATGGAGCTACGTCATGGCAGATTACCTTTTTTACACTCTCCTCCTCTTCCTGGCGTTTCTCGTAGTGTGAAAAGTCGTCAAAAATGGAGGTGGTGTGCTTGTAACTTGCGATGATCTTCAAAACCTGACGCGCCTTATCCAGCGGAACCTCCTGTGTGTCTCGGGAGTTGGTCACCGGCTTATTCTCGTTGTTTTCCAGACGAATGTGCCTCAGTTGGCTGTTGGGAACGTCCTTCACAAAGATCCAGCGCACATCGAAGCGGCCCTTCCACTTGTCCTGCGACCACACACCCGCACAAGTGTTGTAGTCCACGGGTGAACGCATCTCGGCCACGCCGCAGAAGTGCCCACTACCATTCACGCTGAAGAGCAGGTAGAGCGGCCCTTTGTTGGCCAGCGAACGGTAAGCAGCGTCCAGACGCTTATTGCCATGTTCTGTGCTGCACCAGATATTGTACTTAATGGAGCGATGGATGTCGTCCTCAGAGTAGCTCTTGATGATGAAGACGCGACCATGCTTAGGGTTCCAGTCGAAGTCCTTGGGATTGTAGTTGTTCACCATGCGCAGTTTCTCCAGAACTGGGTGGGGCTCTGATGGCACAACAACACCACCCATTCCTGAATTGGGAGGGGATTGGCCAGGTCCGCCCACTGCGTCCCCAAAGCCATTGGCACGGTTACGCGGGGGCACCCAGCGGGTCGGCTGGGAGGGTTGGGTAGCAGGAGGGCCCTGGGAGAGTGGAGGTGGGACAGCACCAGGCTGGCCACCTGGAGAAAGAGGGTGCTGGCCGAGTTGACCGGTGGGTGGCACTAGCTGTCCGTTGCTGAGGGGCAGCTGCGGCACCCCGCCGGCAGTAGCACCTGGTTGAGGAGACGACTGATTGGGCGGCTGTCCATTAGTGGGCAGGGAAGTCTGCTGTGGGGCTGCTGGTTTAGGCATAGTCCCCTTGTTGTCCCAAGTCCCAATATCCATGTTATGTTTGATGGGAGGTGGCGGCAGACTCGTCCCGCCAAGTCCCCCCTTGGTTTTCAGCTTAGGCTGCGGCTTGGCCGGCTTGCTGGCAATGTCCGCCCAAGACGCAGTTTTCGCAGGAGCCATGGAGGCGGAAGCCATGGTGGGAGCTGCAGACACCTGACTCAATGGCCCTCCAGGAAGTCCAGAACCAACAACTTTGGGTGCCATGTCCCCAGCCCCAATCTTAAGCCCCGCCATGCCCTGATCCAAGCTATTCATGCCCACGGCCTTGTTGAGCGGCTCGTTGGCTGCAAAGGGAGACGGTCCGTCAATCATAGCACCTCCTAGCGTGCTAGGAGCATAGGCGTAACTGCTGCTGTAACCTGAGCTCTGTGTGGACTGTCCCTGAGAGCTGCTGTTCCCCCAGGCAGGGAAGTCAATCCCACTGGGGAAGAAGTTGAAGCCGTGCTGTCCCAGGAAAGGGTTGCTCCCCAGTGCCCCGGACTGGCCGAACATGGCATCTGGGAGAAAGTGGTGCTCCCCATTGCTAAGCTGTCCATAAGAGGCCAGGTAAGGCATCGGGGGATCACCGCCTGTAGACCATGCCGCTTCGTTCAGCGAATAGGTAAAGCCTATCGAGGGGCTGTAGTAACTGGGCATGTAGGAGTCGGACATGGCCGTATAGGCATTGCTCTGCAAAAACAAGAACAACATATAAGTCTTCCTATTGAGCACAGTCAGTTGCACAGGCTGATAAAAGCAAGTAAACGAGTAAAACAAGTAAAAGTAAATACATGTGGGGGGTAAAATATTCACAAGTTTAAGTGCAACATTAGGGTAAAAGCAGCACCATTTCAATTATCTGTATTGTCATTAAATATTCTCTACTCTCCCTTGTCATTACGGCTGGTTCGAAAGAAAATGAAGCTGAATAAAATAAAGTGAGGTTAACAACAACCAAGTATGGTTTTCTTCTGCTTGAAGTTCAGATTACTACCTGCATTGCCAAAATTTCACTGGCCAATACAGTGTAAATGCCAAATCATGTCACAAATTTATATATTGAATAAATGCTGTTCTTTTGAACTTAAAATGTAATTTTAAAAAATCCAGAAAAATACAGTTTTCAGCATTGATAAGAAATGTCTCATGCGCAATAAATCAGCACATTACAAAGATTTCTGAAGGACCATATGACAATGAAGCTTAGAGTAATGGCTCCTGAAAATTCAGCACTGCCTTCAAAGTATTAAATTACAATTTAAAGTACATAAAAATAATTTTACTTATTTTAAATTGCAATAAAATATTAACTGTTTTCACTGTATTTTTGATTAAAAAAAAAAACAAAAAAACATCCCTCTTAAATCTTTAAACTCTCACAGAGACCTCAGGCCAGTAAGAACTTTATTGTTCAGCCCTGCTCACCATAACCTCAAGTGCACTGAAACTTTGTACTAAAAGACCTCCTCTGACATGCTGAGTATTGGGAAGAGAGCTTTGAGAAGATCATTTGGGACTGGTCATCCAGGCACACAGCCTGCTCATATTTTCAACACCAGCAATCAGCTTTGTGAGGGCAACAGTGGCACAGATTACCCACAAAAGATCCCAGCATTCCTTTGACAGGGTGAATACTAGACCCTTTATTCATCAGTGTCCCATTTTCCTTACAAGACATCCTTTGCCAGAACACCCGTTATTTCGGCATATATTAGTGCAATTAGTAAATTGGAGAATTTTTAATTTGATTAATTTCATTTGCAGCAGCGCAAACCTAATTATTGCTAATTATTTCATTCCTTAATCACCTTTCATCACTTCCTGGTGAACAGCTGCGCTGCATTTTGCACAATTTCCTATGACTCATCAACATGCAATACAATTTAGACAGCAACTAAATATCTGCCGGTGTCATATGTCAATATGTATGATGGATGACTTAACTAGGTCCACACACCTCTTTAAACAACTCTCATACAGTATTTGGCTGCAGCGTAGAGTGCCATAGTGACACCCTAATAAGAAAAAGTCTAGAGACCAGGATGCAATTACGGGCCATAATGAATCCTCAAGAGAATAGGCAACAAAAACAATTGCCCTGCTCTTTGTCTCTATGGGTTCCTTCTTTTGTTCAGCTCTGAAACAAGACCTACCTGTCTAGGCTGAGCGTTCAGGTAAGGCTCGAACTCATCATCGTTCAAAGTATCCTTTTGGGTAACAGCTCCGTTTTGCACTGGAAAGCAAAAGATACAGAAAGTTAGAGAACATACTCAATGTTTCTTTTTACAGCCGTCTAATGAAAAGGATGTAATAACTGTGATATCAGGCCAAAGCTGAATGTTTTATCTGGAAATTTTTCAAGTTATGGGTGCTTTCCAAGGCACAATACTAAAAGTCATGGTGCGTTCATTGTCCTCCAGGATGTTGGGAAGTCCTAATTAGAAACGTCAAATCCCTTTGGTTGGAGCAAGATGGATGTAATTTTTTTTCCAAAATAAAAGCAAGTTTTAAACTGTTTCTACAAAATGATAAATGAAGAATGTGCATCAGGTGTGTATTTGCATTTTATGATTTTTTTTTTCACCATTTTGAAAGGTGCTATACACTATATTCTTATATCTTAATTGTACAATACTAATCACATATTGCACATGCAACTTAGCAAATTTTATTGCAAATAAAGAATTTACATTAACAAATTTACTATCAGTTACAGACACTGTACCCACTGTCTACCACAACTCCTTACTGACACTTGCTGAAATTTGAGGTTCACAGAAAACCCCTTGTTTCCCCACTCAGAATTATGATTTTGCTGGCATTCACGTGCTTTCAACTTGTAAATATGATCTTTTCAACATGACTGGAACACACCATCAGATCAATGCACCTGGTGCTGAAATCAACATGTGGATGAAACACAGACTGTCATCAAACTTTAGTTTAAAAGAAATAGCTTGACTCAAACACAAAGTATCTCATCTTAAACAGAAAGTGCAATCTGACAAATCTATTTTCAGTCAGAGATACAAAACAAAGACAAATCCTCATTAAATACAAACATCAGAAAGACTCAAACACTCATTTTACTGAAGTGTCAGATGTTCCGTTATCACAGCCTAATTTATTTGAACATCAGAAATCAGCCAGTGATCTGATCTCCATAATAGTTAATTCACTGTCAGCACAACAACGAAGTCTTAAATGTCATTAATGTCTTAAAGTCTAGTACACTTAACTTACACAATATATACTATATATCATACTTGCCTGTACTGTTTTTATTATTTCCCCATCTTTTCTATCCCTGCGCGTCTCCTATAGTATCTTTCTTTAATAATCTATGCAAAACAACGGCAGTAACGCACTTCTAAATTGAAAACGGACTAAAATAAAAAACTAAAAGCTCTCACATCATATCCACGTGGTCATACGCAGTGATTCAACACGCAACTGGATTGTGAAAGGTTGACACACTGAGTGTGGTGCTGAAAATCCCCTCAACAGGTTCCTCTTGGTAGCATGCTTAAACCTCTGCCTCTTGACCACGGATAGAAATTATGATTCTAAGTACACGTGAGACATCTACAGCACTAAATTTGAAGAAAACACCTAAAAACAACATTCGCGCAGAGTGTAGGTGGTGTCCAGGTGTGTCACGCGTTTCGCTGTGTTCGGCCTCACTAACAGTTACTGTGCTAGGCGGCTAACTAGCGTGGGCTCCAAACACAAGCTCCCCTTACACATGTGAGAAACTAAAACCAACCATATTCTCTACCTTAAGACCCATTTCTCTTTTAATTCCACGTGGGATTGTTTTAAGCAGGTTTAAGTGGATGAATTATTAGCGGAATCGGTATGAAAACTCGGCCTGCTAACAGCAGCACCAGAACGACTCTTATTACAGCACAAAAACGGCATGGCGGCACAGCACCTACCTTTGTTTGCTTGGCCTTTCGGTCTCTGGATTGGGTCCAGGTGATTCATGAAGGAGTGAGTTTGGAGAGGAAAGAAGGAGAATAAACGAAGGTTTATATGAAGCTCAGGCCTGAACTCGCGCTGCGAGAGAGAAAAAACCCGCCTCGACGTCACTTCTGCTCAATGTTCACAAAGTGCCTCTGTTTACCTGCTCCAGAAGGCTGCTGGCTGACATTTCTCTCTCCCCGGAGCCTGTGTGTTAGACTGCGCGTTTGTTTGCGGGTTAAAGTCAACGGGAAATGTGTGTGTTTTTAAAGTCTTTGCGCCCGTCTCGCTCTCTCTCTCGCTACAGCTGCAGATCAGACACACAATGGCGGGCTGCAGTTCCTCCACACTTCAACATGGCCGAGCGGCCGCCGCACGTTTATCCACGGCGGTACAGCGCCACTCCACGGCTGGGAGGAGGCTGTGTATGTGTGATCTGCGGATTTACATTTACACATTTACACATTTGTGCTGCTACGCATGAAAAAGAGTTATTCCTTTTATACAATACATTTTTATATCCCGAACATTAATATCTAATATTTATAAAACACATGACAGCGGTGCTATGCGTAAAATAAGTTATTCCTTCTATAGACATATCATATATAGATTATATATAGTTATATATAATATTTAAAATACATAATTTAAAAATATATACAATTTTTAATTTTCTAATTCCTTTCCATTCATCTGGATGTGTTGGGTAGATTTTATGAATTATGTTGTATTAGCTTGTTTATTAGTTTAAAAAAAATCAGGCTGACATTGCAGAGCTTGATATGTTATCATCAACATTTAAAAAAATGTCTATATCAATGTAAAATATCAGTTGACACTCTCGTGTAAGCATCTCTCACTGCGCTAACTTTCCATTCTGTTAGGAACAAACCAAAGTTCCTTCTAAGGAATGATATGTTTTGGGCTGTTGAAGAGAATAAAGAAAAAAGATAAATAATTTTGTGTTGATATAACGAGTTTAAATTGTATTTGTGTGCTGTGTTTTATGAACCATTAAAACCCGAGTAGAAATAATATCTGCACTGTCACTTGTACGCCACTAGATGTCCGCATTATTATGCAGCTAATTGATATGAGTCAATCCATTGGCCAATACGAAGCATAGACTGATACGAAGCCAAGTCATGGCAGACGTGAACCAAAAGTAGGCGGCTTGCTACAGTACATGCTACTACTTCATTTGTTCTTTTCAAGAGCGACGTACTTCATTACATTTGTAAACAGAAAAAAGGCATTATTTGTAAGTGTTCACATGTAAGTTATAAGCTAATTCTCATTTTGTGAGATAGTGTGTCATGTTTGAGTGCGAGAAGTGTTATTATGCAGATGGCTAGTAGCACATATGATCTAGCAAATAATGAACAGTTGCCTTTACAGTGTGAAAATAAAAATGAAAAATAAAAATGCGAAGTAAAATTAGAAAATAATTAGCAAATGTAACAAAATCGAATAACATTCGTTAACTAGGCCTATAAGTTAACCTGGCCTAACAACAAAAATACTTTTATTAATCTAATTAATCACCATTTGCTAATACATTATTAAAATCAAACGTTGTATCTGTTAATATTATTTAATAGACTTGAGCTAACATGAACTAAAAAAAAATGAACAGTTGTGTTTTATTAACATTAACAAGAGCAATAGCCTAAATACCTAATGTACTGCTTGTTGTTACATTAATTGCATAGTTAACAGTAACTTGTGGTAATTGCATTAAATAACAGTAACTTATGAGACCTTATTCTGAAATCATGCTAAATACCGTATTGACCCGAATATAAGACGATGTTTTTTTCTTGGAAATACATCTGAAAAAACGTGGTCGTCTTATATTCAGGGTCTAGACTTTGACATGTCAATAATACACCCACAACAATAGGTGGCGCCAAAACCGCATAAAACGAGTGTGCCATGAAATACGTAATGTAATGCGTGCTGTAAAGATCGCGAGTAAAAACAAAAGAAAAAAAAA